CTTGGACCCCATGCTGACCTTTTCCGTAAACATGTAGGTGCCCCTGCCTGAACTCTCATGTTCACTGGGAGTGTTGTTTCTGCAGCTTGTAGACTCTTAAGGGCATGGGCTATACATTTGTTCCAGGTCCCCTGACACTGAGCACAGGATACCACACAAACTTAGGGGCAGAGTCTTGAGTCCCAAACAGCCCTCACTGGGCATTGAGTTCTGCTTACGCCCCCAGTGTGGGATCTGATGCAGCTACATTCCTACTGGGTGTGCGCCCTGGGGGCTCAGTGTCAGGGAAAGCCCTCCTCTTCTCCTGGGAACGCTTGCTCTCCGCTCTGCCTGCCTTGGCCTGAGAATCAGGGGCATCGGCCCAAGTTAAAGAGTCCTTTGCCAAATGGCCCCCAGCTTCCCACCCTCATCAGTCCCTCATCTTCTAGCCCCTCAAGTATCTCTTCAAGCAACCAGTTGGCTCCATGGCCGGGGACTGCTCCTGATCCCCCACATTGACCATACTTCTGATTTGCGGCACAAGGCCATTTCCTCGTAGCCCCTGCTGCTTGATGAGGTTCTGCCCTGTGGGCACTCGGAATAGATCCGCTCCTTTCATTGGTCATTTAAATCTCCCATGCAGGTGGGTTTGGAGGGTGCTCTTAGCTCAGGCCTGGTAAGTGCCTGCTTTGTGTCTAGCTCACACAGAGTGTCCCTGAGCACAGGAAGGGAGAGGACTCAGAATAACAGTTGAAGGTCAATATAAAAAGAGGCTGCAAGAAGTGACAAGGACACTGACTGGGGAAGTTTCCTGGAGGAGATGGAACTGAGCTGGACCTCAGAGGTCGGGGAGGGTACAGCAGAGAAAGGAAATTGTTGCAAATGTGGGAAGAGCTTATCCAGGTGGGCTCAGCAGATATTTGGGGAGAGGGATAGTTGGAGACAGAAGGTGGAAGACCAGATAGGCTTTAGTGTCACAGCAGGTCCCCTGGACTCCATGTGACTGTACTTCCCTGGGGTGGTCAGACCAACCAGGCCCCTGATGGGCCTCCTCCCATGCCCTTGCAGGAGATCGACGGCAAGGCCCTGCTCCTGCTGCGCAGCGATGTGATGATGAAGTACATGGGGCTGAAGCTGGGGCCTGCGCTCAAGCTCTCCTACCACATTGACCGGCTGAAGCAGGGCAAGTTCTGAGCAGGAGGGCACGGCCTGGACAACGGGGGCGGAGCAGAGGGGGGCGGCATTCCCCTCCCAGGAAGCAGGCCCAGCAGCCCACTCGTGGTGCCTCAGGACTGCAGGAGGCTGTGCAGAGCCCCCGCTGCTACCCTCCCTGTCACGACATGTCCTTCCATGAAGGACTGAGGAGGGGGTGGGGGGCCGAGGGCTGGCGCCGCCCTTCCTCTCAGCCCTGCCTCTGCTCTGAGGTCCCCTCTATTTATTTCCTAAGCCTGGCCGGCCTCTCACCAGGAGTTTAGACTGAACATCTGCCATGTAATGGCGAAGGGGATGACCCCTGGGGCCTCGGAAGATGTGGCCCCGAACTAACACTGGTGCCCAGTCCCCTTACCACCTGCTGGGCCTGGTGTGGCACCTACTGGCCCACAGCTCCTCAGACTCCAAACTCATGGTGCAAACCTCTGCCTTTTTTTAAAAAGATCTTTTCGTATTGTTAATTTATTGTTTCTGGCACTTGGGCAAGCCCTTGAGGTCTTGCTTCTGACCCCCAACATGGGCTTTCAGGGGAGAGACTCCCCTGCCCGGGTTCCAGAGAGGCGTCCCCTTCGCAGGGGGCGTTACCCCAGGGCGCTGTCTCTGGGACAGACAGACCCAAAGAGCCTTGACCACATCCCTCAGCATGGGGAGTAGAGGGTCCCTGTCACCTTCCCCTCTCGTCCTTACTGGGCCTTTGCTGTCGGCCTCATCCTGCCCGCACTGTCCCCCAGCACAGCTCCTTGCCCTGGCCAGAACTGCTGCAGGAGCAGGTCGGGCCAACGACTTTAGGTCAAGAAGGCCCTTAGGTGGGCGGGCAGAAAGGGTCTCCCAGCTGGAGACTCCTGCACCCACTCCAGTGTCCACATGCTTCCTTCATAAGCAAGTCAGCAGCACAGCTGCCCTGCTACAATCTGGATTTATTTTATGTCGATTTGTTTATAAATAAAAAACAATATAGATGCCAGTGTCTTTTTTCTTTTAATGTGTTTTTATTGATTTCAAAGAGAGGAAGGGAGAGGGAGAAAGAAACATCAATGATGAGAATATCAATTGGCTGCCTCCTGCACACCTCCTACTGGGGATTGAGCCAGAAACCCAGGCATGTGCCCAGACCTGGAATCGAACTGTGACCTCCAGGTTCATGGGTTGATGCTTAACTACTGAGCCACACAGGCCAGGTGGCTGCCAGTGTCTTTTAATCAGTCAATATCCAAATCACTCTTTTCCAATGGGCAGGTCAGTCCCTACTAGTGGTCTTAGTTCTCTCACATATGAAATGAAGAGCTTGGACAAGATGACCCCTGAGTTCTAATTCCAGCAATCCCTGATGAACAGGGTATTTGCCAGATGTCCACTGGAGCCCCAGCACTGCGCAGCCCCAAGGAAGACAAGGGGCTTCGCTCTGGTGCAGCAGGACAGTGGTGAGCACGGCGGCCCGCGAGCCTGAGCTGGAAGAGCAGTGTTAGGGTCAGCAGCGCCAAGGACCCTCACTGGCTGTCTTCATCCACACTCTAAGGGGCAAGGAGAGGTGCAGACTGGCCTGGCCAGGGGCAGGTACTCCAGCCCAGGGCCACACATCCGTTTCTCACGGGGTGACACTAAGGTGCAGGGGCGGCCGCACCGTGCAGTGTAACCTGAGAGTAACTAACTTTTGTGTCACTGTGTACCCCACAAACTGCTCTACATGAATTAGAATGATCTCATTTAATCTTCACAACAACCCCATTTTACAGATGAGGAAAGTTCAGCTCAGATCACATAGCCAGGAAGTGCTAACGTAGGCATTTGAAGCCAAGTAAACTGACTTCAGGGCCAAGGCTGAGATTCCAGCCAATCCGGCTACTAGCTGTGGCGCTTTGGGTCAGTCATTTCATTTCTTTGAGCCCATCTGGCTCTGAGGGGTTTGGATAAGGAGACTTCTGAGGGGAAGGGAGTACTTGCCAGCCCTCACCAGCGACTGGTTCTGACACCCTGATTAACTTAGAATGCCCTTTCCACTTGTCCACTGTGAGGTTCTAACCGTGTTCTCCGTGAAGCAGCCAGAGGGCGAGGGATGCCAAACCAGAGTAGGCCGTTTTCCACAGACTCCTGGACACACCGGGGTCTGGTAGGCTGTGCTGCTCATTCAGGGTACTACCAAAAAGTGCCTTGGGCTATTTTTCAGGGCTCTTCTGGGCAGCAACCTCTGTCTCCAGCATAGAGAAGGGCCTGGTGTCAGAAGGAGCCCTGGACCCAACTGGGTGCATTCTGAGCCATCTGGAAGTGGCAGTGGAGCCTGGGACTGGTGACTGAAGGGGGAAAGAGGAGAGTGACACCAGGGGACCTGCATGGGCACTAGGACCTAAAAGACACTACAGAGGGAGGAAGTACATCTTCAGCCCTGGGTTCTGGGAGCTGCCCAGAGGGAGACCCAGGGCCAAGCTGGTGTGTATCTGTTTACAGAGCAGGTGGGGTTGGGGAGAAGCATCCTCCTGAGTGACTGCCCACCCTTGCCTGCCAAGTGCCTGAGGCTGGCAAGAAGGCATTGTTGACTCTCATGAGATCACAGAGGTAGCTGCACGGACCCCGCCCACTTCCTACAGCCCTGGTTCTCTGCCACCATGTTCCAAGCTCCCAAGTGCCCTTGGGAGCCACTGGCCAGGGGTTGGAGCTGTGGGAGCTCAGGGCTGGCACCTCCCACTACCTCCCAGGAACAGTCAGGACATGAGGGTCATAGGCCTCCCTTTTCCGCCTATTCCTGTTGGCCCTGAATGCCCCCACCCCAGCCGAGGTGGCCCTCAGGCCCTGACTACCCCAAGGATCCGATCTGAAAAGATGCAGGCTGGTGGTACCTGCCACACTGACCAGAGGCTGGATGTGAGAGGGTAAGTGGAGGAGCTGGTGTGTGCATAGCTCAGGAGTGAGGTCCCTGCCTGGCAGGAGGCTGGATGAGGGTACATAGGGCCCCAGCTCTGCCCCTCATTCTGCCCCTCCTCATTTCTGCTCTCTTAACCAAAAATGGAGGACTCAGTCTAGACTAATTCTTAAGAAGAGTCTACAAGCCTCCTCAAGTTATACGTATATATGCAAAGCTCACTTTTCTGGGGAGAGGCCATAGCTTTCATCAGTGTGCCCAGAGCCTCTGCTCTACAACCGTGTGGCCCAGCCCTGCCCATTTCAGAGCCCTTCTGGGCTTATGCCAGGTTTGGACCAGGCAAGTAGTGGGGCCACGGTCAGGCCTCAGAGCCCTGGGGTAAAGCCTCCTCCAGAAGCCCTTGGAAAGGTTTCTTTGGTGCCTGGAGGCAGCAATAATCTCTGGTAAGCAGGAAACACCCACAGCTCCTAGGAGGCCTGAGCCTGTGGGCTAGGGAGGGAAGACAGGATCCCTGGGCCAATGAAAAGATATGGGGTGCCCTCAGAGACCTGAGTCCTGGCCCCTCTGTCCCTCTTTGGGTATAGCCCCCCAGTCTTCTGTGGACTGGAGGGGCAGGCTCACATGCTCTGTTCTCTGGCTCAGCCCTGTTTCACTCTCCTCTTTCCTGTCCCAGGCCTGGGTTGGGTGGCAGGCCCCTTCCTGCTAGCCCTCTGCCCTCCCTCTCTCTCTCTCTGGCCCTTCCCAGCCCCTGCCCATCTGTGAACCTCCCAGGAACCTTGGCACCCCTTGAGTCCCCTGGGAGGCCCTGGGCCAAGCTGAGAGCCCAGGGCCCTGGGAAGAGCAGCCAGCAGTAAGGAATCCCAGAAGCCCTTCTGAGGGAGACCCCCCAGGAAGAGATCAGCACAAACAGATGCAAGAGCCCCTCATGGAGCCCAAACAGATGCAAGAGCCCCTCATGGAGCCCAAACAGATGCAAGAGCCCCTGCAGGAGCTCCCCACAGAGGAGTCCCTGACTGAGGACTCAGGCCTAGAGGGGGCTCCCAGCAAGCATGTCCTCTACGTGGGCCACCTGAACCCCCAGTTCTCGGTGCCGGTGCTCACCTGCCTGCTCCGAGACACCCTGGAGCGGCTGGAGCTGCCGGTGTCACGGGAGCACATCGAGGTGGTGAGGCGGCCCCGGAAGGCCTATGCTCTGGTGCAGGTGGTCACCCACGAGGACACCCTGGCCTCCCTCCCCTGGCGCCTGCAAACAGCTTTGGAGGAGCACCAGATCATCAAGGAGCTGGTGGCCCGTGGGAAGGAGCTGGTGCTGGGAGAAGGCCGGGGCCCCACAAGCCACAGAGAGGTAAGTGAGGCTTTCCCGGAGCCACCCCACCTGCAAGCCCCACGGCCTCGTCCAGGGGTCCGGGTATGGATGGCCTGCACTGCATGGGGGTGGAGCAGTGTCTTTGAAAACCTGGGGACAAATCTGCAAACTTGGGGCCTGTAACCCAAATGACTGATGTGAAGCTGGCACTGCCAGCTCACGCCCAGAGGGACAGTGACCCCTACAATTTGCCTCCAGCTGGGAAGCATGTGAAGACAGGCCAATGGGTGGGACTCCTCCCCGGGGCCTCTGCATCCCAGTCTCCGGGGCTGGGCCAGCCCAAGCCTTAGGTCCCACAGGGGTCCTCATTTTCTCCTTGCCCACCTCATTCAGTTGACGAATACCAGCAGCCACTCGGTGTCAGGCTGTAAAAAGCAGAGAGCGAGGGCTCAGCCCTGCCCTCAGGGAACCCTCTACCTATGAGCAGAGCCAGACAGCCAGTGACAAAGCTGCACGGTGGCCTCCTAGAGCTGTGGAAGGACACAGGAGAGTCCCCATTGCTTTCTGGGGACAAATTAGCAGGAGAAGCGAGATCTGGGCTGGGGCTTAGGGAGTGGGACAGGCATTCCAAGCAGAGGGACGTGGCACATACAAAGGAACAGGGTGGTGAGGGGAATGTTACATACGCAGAAGGCAGGCCAGTCAGTGTCCCTGGAGCTCAGGCTGAAGGCTGCAGAGGAACAAAGGAAAAAAGAGGTCAGGGGCCAGGCCACCAAGGGCCGTGAGACCAAGACAGCGGGGCTGGAAGGTTGGCTCCTGTGGGGAACAAACGTGAGGGAACAGTCACCCCACTGAGGCCGTGCAGGTCAGCCCATGAGGCAGGTGATCCTGGTTTATCTTTTCTCTTGGGATGGAAACACCCCGGTGTTTAAACTGTTGCAGAACTAAACAGCTCTGTGACTTCTACTTCAAGGCCAGTGGGCCTGATTTCACGTTTGTATGACAGTTCCTCACGTTTGTGATACAGCTGACCTTTCTGGGCACTGGGGGCTGATAGGAATTTGCCTCTCATCACCATGGCCCAGCCCACCCTGAGCTCCCAGCCCAGAAGGCCTCTTCCAGAGCCTCGAGGGCTGCAGAGAGCCCAGTAAGGGAGGACTGGCCGCCTGACTGCATCTGGGGTCTGCGATGGGGATCATGGGACAGGGAGAGCCTGGAGGCAGGGAACCCAGTGAGGGGCTGACCAGGGGAGTGGCCATGGGCTCATGCTCAGAGCCCCCAGGCAGAGCAGAAACCATGGAAGGGGGCTTCAGAGGGCGTGAGGAAAGCTGGAGTTTCGGGGAGACCAGGAAGGGGGTGGGGTTTCCAGGAGCCCCTCTCAGTTCAGAGACCTGAAGTCACACGGGCCTCAGGGCACCGAGGTGTCTCCTGGTGATCCTGGGCCCAGAGGTCCAGCCACAACCAAGTGGAAGAGATTGGCCCCAGGTGGCCCAGCTGCCAGCCAGGAAAGGAGGGCTCTCCTTACCCACCAGGCGCCTCAGCCCACCTGGGAGGAGGGCAGCCCAGCCGCAGGCAACGGGCTGGTTGGGACGCTTCACCCAGCAGGGTCTCCCGCATTGGCTGCAGGCAGAATCAGAGGGGACTTGGGGTATCCTGAGTGGGCTGGGCCCCAGGGACGGGGGGTGGGGGTCCTGGCAGCCCGGGTCGGGGCTCCCAACGCTTCCCCACCCCAGCAGGAGGAGGACAGCGGCCCGAGCCCCGGCCCCA